TGGGGGTCCTCATAATGAGGATTCTGGATATTGGGATCCATATTGAGTGCAGGGTTGGTCTATTTAAGGAATATGGTGGGTCCCTAAACCCTAAACCGCAGTTTCCATTTTCTTTTCGCTTCCTTGATTTCCTTTTAACAAGCCCAGCGCAAGTAATTCACTGCTACACCCTAAACCCTAAACCCTAAACCACATTATATAACCCTATATAACCCTAAATAATCCTATAGAACCGTATATCATCCTATATAACCCTAGATAACCTTATATAATCTTATATAACCTTATATTTCCCTACATAATCCTATATAGCCCTAGATAATCCTATATAGCCCTATATAATCTCCAAGCTTTAGTTGGGATCTGAGGCCCCGGCTGAGATGAACTGCTCCAGTGAGCCTTTGCGTGGTTCTGGAAATTTGGGGATGCCCTGGCAAAAGGTACTTGACAAAGTCACGGGATAGCAAGGGCACGAAGCGCATGTGGGGCCTGTACCTATACCACTTACCCACGTCCCTGCATCAAACAGGAATTCTCGAAACCCTAAACCCTAAACCCTAAACTTTCCAGTTATAAGATCCCCTCGAAGGAGACCAAAATTGTAAACCCTAAACCCCTAAATCCCAAAGCCGAAATTCTACGGGTCAGGGCTTAACGGTTTTTAGGGATGTAGGGTTTAGGGTTTAGAGGTTGCCAGGGTTTAGGGTTAGGGTCCCCGCTCTCATGGATGCTGAAATTCAGATTGAAGCAGGCAGGGAATCACTCAAGGGTCTAGGGTTTAGGGTCAAGGGGTTCGGGACGTCTGCTCGACCAGCTGTACAGCAGCAACCGAGGGCATTGGGCACGGAGGAAAAAGCGGACATCATGAATCTTCCAGTATCATATGGGGGTTTCTCCAAATGGGGGTCCCCACAGAGACCGCAGAAACATATCGGAGATTGCAGGCTCGTCTTGCAGACTCAATATTGGTGAATCCGAGAAAGTCCCATGTCGGGCACATTGAAATTTAGAAGCTCCTGTCAAGATAAAGCCCTACAATCTCTTCTAGTTCTGAAGCCCGTGCGAATCCTAGGTTTTCAAATGGTACCCCATGATGCGAATTCCCCATGGGTAACCCTCGGTGGACATTTGATTATGCCATCTGGATATTATGTATTTAGGAAGCCACTTCAGTCGGGTCAGCTCCTATGTACTGTAAACCCATGAAAAACAAACCCCCTCCCCTTAATAGGGATTATAATAGGGATCCCAATATTAAGGCCCTTAAAAGGAGGGGGTTTGTTAATCACGGGTCTACATTACCTGAGATCAGACGCCTTTCTGCCGTTTTGGTGACTTGGCGCACTTACTTGGAGGTTCACGGGTGGTTGTATGTGGGCTGACTCTTATGTAGGGTAGCTATATACCCTACACTCTGTGGAGAACCCTCCTACAAGAGTACTCAGCTTGCCGTTGCTCACAGCGACTGGCCAAGTTTCAGCAAAAGAGGGCATTGGTAGCCCGAACCTGCAAGATTATGACCGTACTACAGTCAAATGATAGTTGTATGGTTCCAATTTTTTGGGGTGGGGGTGGGGTGATGAAAATCCCCTGATTCAGAGCAACAGGCAGTATTCTTCTTGGCTCCTTCTCTTTGTCTTTCCATCTCCATGACCTGCACAGTGCGAGAAATGTTGACTGGAAGGAACATACGGCCCTACGGTGGTTGCAAGAAATCTTGCTTTAGGGTTCAAGGTTAAGGGTTCCGCCACTTAAGATTCCCAAAGCACTGGTAATCCTAGAAGAAAGAATGCAAGATCTGCTCCATCCACAGTAGGGCTGGAGGAATGCTTGATTGTCAGGGCAAGAAGTGCCTCACTGACGCCGTCCTCCAGGATTTAAGCGAGTAGGTAGGTAGCAGTCCTGACTGTGAGTTCGGTGTGCTTCAGCAACATGGGAGCCAATGCCAGCAGCTGTTGCGACCTGATGGAAGCCCTTCCCGCAGTAGAAGCCGTGCGGGCGGGAGTGCCTCAGCTCATCTTAAAGTTTGGTTCCACCGCTGTTTAGCTCCTCTCGTAAAGAAAGGTCATAGAACCTCCAATACATGAAGTGCTCATACCCTAAATCCTAAAGCCATGAAGCAAAAGCATTATGAATAGCCCTAAACCCTAAACCCTAAAGCCCAAGCAATGAAGCAGAAGCATTATGAAGACCCCTAAACCCCAAACACTACAGTAAACTCCAAGCACTGAAGCAACAGCACTGTGAATCCAAAGCCCCGAGAGCATGAGCCAGGTGCAGGTGAGCAAAGCGGAACCTGTCCAGGAGAGAGCATTTTCTCAAAATGAGCTATAGTCTAAACTTCTTAAAGGGGGGGTATTTTGGGTTCAGGGTTTCAGATTTAGGGTATGGGTCTAGGGTCCAAACTCCTTGAGGGAGGAGTTACAGGGGGGATTACATAGGGAGTATTGTAAGGGTCTTCCAGGGTGATACCGGGAGTTTAGAATGGGTTCAAATGAACCCTTGCATAATAAGAGGAGCCCCTTAGATTCTGTTTGTAAGCTGTAGACCCCGGAAATTTCAAGGTACCCCAGGGTACCCTTATTCTTAAGATAGAGAATCCCGCGCCTACGCTCCCAGATATAGGCATCCTTCATCCAGGGGCCCTACTTGGAGGGTTATCATTTGGTTGTAATTTCCCCGAAGCCCTAAACTGGAAGCCCTAAACCCTGAAAACCTAAATTACCAAGCCCGAATCGGTAACCCCTAGGCCGTAAACCCTACATGCTAAACCCATTGCCCCCCACCCCGCAAGCTTCAAACGCCAAACCCTTCATCTTCAAAGAAGCCGCAGGAGGAGGAACAGGGCCTTGACGTTCGGCAAGTCTCCTTTCACTGGGGCCAGCGGCTCGCCCGTTTGGAGGCTATGAGAGTGCTTGAGGCAGGAAACCCTGAACCCTAAACCGCTAACTGCCAAGATTCTGGGTTTAGGGATTAGGGTTTAGTCGCCAACAATAAGGGTTTAGGGTTTAGGGTGCCAATATTAGGGGTTTGGGGTCTAGGGTTTTGGGAATAGCCACCAATATTAGGGGTTCGTGATCTAGGGTTTAGAGAATGATTGCCGACAGTGTGTTCGCTACAGTTTTCCAAGGTTAGGATGCCGATGAACCCATCAACTTTGATAGCCCTACCTGAAATGGACCCTGAGCCCTAAACCCTAAACCCTAAACCCCAAACCCTAAACCTTAAGTCCTAAGCCCTAAACCCCAAACCCTAAAACCCTAAATCCCAAACCCTAAACCCTAAACCGTAGACCCGAAACCCTAAACCCCAGGCCCTAGGACCCTTGCACTCCTCAGGTGGACAGGGAGATCGTCCGCAGCATTTCCCTCTGCTCCAGTCTCAAACGTTTTGGACTGCTATGGCAGCGGTGCGAGTTTCTGAGAACAACCCCGATTCAATCCTTAACATTTCCTTTTATAGCCTACTGGTATGCGTTTAGCTC